GACGATGTAGATACGCATTCAGCATCTGTCTGAAAATAGTGGTGTCAAGTTGTTCGAACGCCCGTCGTAGCAAGCCGAGGTGTTGGGTACTAATTTTCAATGCTTTTGTGGATCACTTGGGGCAGCGCAAGTTATTCTGAACAAGTACGCTAAGGTCGCATTTGACTGATGGTCGCTGCAATACTTCTGTTCCTAGCTTGTAGGAATACGTAAGCTGGTGTCGTATGGAGGATACCTTGCATTTGTCCACGTTGAATTGTAAAAGTTTTCTGGTCGACCAAGAGTATAGCAGGTAGCATGTAGCAGGTTCTGGATTGACCATTGATTTATCATATACAGGTCACACTGAAGTAAATTCTGATCGGTTTCCGCCTGAATCCGGCGGCACATATTGACGCCGTCAACAGAAAGTAGGAAATCTGATCCGATTATATGTGCCTGGTAATTAATAAATATCAAAAACAATAGGGGTCCCAGAACTGAACATTGAGGCACCCCACACTCGACTGGTATGGGTTCAGATAAGTTATTCAGCACTCCGACTACTAATCTTCGTTATAGGGGGAAGTTGGCAATGCAGCGCATGAGAGGGTCACCGATCCCGTAATACTGAAGCTTGGGAAGGATAATTCGATGTTCTAAACGATCGAATGCCTCCGATTAATACAAGTACATGATATAAAATGCCTCACCAGAGTCAATTGACTCGGTTCAACTACTCCGTGCGATTAATGGAATTGTTGTGCACGCTCGCTGTTGATGCAAGCCATGTGGCTCGGGAGCAAGGATGTTGCAGTTATCAAGATAATATACTAAGGTATTGGCAATGCTGAACTGTTTGAACTTGGATAATACAGGGAGAAGAGCCCCTGAGCGATATTTTGAGGGCTCCGTCCGGCTTCCGCCTTTGTGAATCGGAGTTCTTATTTCAAGCTTCTACATCGTAGGAAAATGGTTTTGATCCAAGCAGCACTGAAAGAAATGGGCCATAGGTATTGCCAATTACCTTGCTGCTACTCCCTGTGTCTATGGGCGAATCGTGTGTAATCCAGGGGGCTGCGGCTGCGCAGAGACGTCAGCTTCTGCAATACAGCTTCGGCAGGAAAAGAGATGTCTTTGAGAATGGAAAACAAAAGCTGGAAGATCGCCAGATGGCCAAAGTCTCTGAAAAGTGGGAGCAAGTTGCATCTGCAACGCATTTCCTGCTTCTGTAGCTGTTCCAGTCGAACAACTATGCGTCCAGAGTGGAGGCTTTTTCTGCCTTACCTGGCCTTACTTGGCCTTACAAAAGCCATTGACATACTTGTACAGCAGTTTGTGATTAGCACTATAAGTTTTCGCCATGTTCTGCTGATATGCGGCTTTGTCTTTTTAAGCAGTTGAGTGTAGTGATTAAGTTGAACTATGTGGTTGTACCACTTATCTGCTGTTGATGATGATCTATACGCTGGACAGGATGCGTTGTGTACACTGATCCGTTTTATAGTTCTGCTACTTATGCAAGAATGGTATTTAGGCCCTATTTAAACCTTTGTCTCTGAGAGATCGGTAGCTATTTTGACTGAAATGTTCATGAATTGGAGCCAAGCGACTTTCGGGTGACCTTCAGAGAGGAACGAACTGGTTGTGGTAGTGAGCAGCTGGCCTAAGCGTTCGTAGCGTGTAATGGTGCGCAACATCTCAGGGTTCTGGTGGCGATATTCCGCATAACAGGTAAAGTTGAAACTGATGACTTCATGCTCACTGTGGCCCAAAGGGCATTGTACAATCAATACAGTAATCATAGGTTAGTCGTTGGTAAACACATGATTCAGCACAGATTGTCTATTACCTGTTCCAGAACGAGTGGACTAATGACATGATTGTAAAATGCTACACTGGTTACGGGTGCTAAGGGATCTATCTGCTTTGACTGGCTCTCCGATTGTATCAGGGATTTCTAAACAATGTACTTTAATTCCCCCGTGATAATGATGTGCGTATGCTTTCTCTTTAGACTGCATCTTAAAGCTGTCGTAAGTTTGTAGTCTATTTTTGGACTTAGAGTTTGTGAGACCGTACACTAAAGCCGTAAGGTGGGTGTCGCTGCCATGCAACTGCATGAGACATCGAAGCGAATCAGCGAATTGTGAGACTGAATTTTCCACAGTCTCGCACTGTAAGTGGCTTAGGTAATAAAGAATTACCGCTCCTCCTTCCGTTCGCCTGTCGTTGCCGATGAGTGACATACCCTGCCGCATGACTTGATGGTCTAACTTTCCAGTGTGAGACCACGCCTTCGTGAAACCGATGATATCGCATAGCTTCGAAATATGGCGATCTTGCAGCTTAATGAATAGGCCTTGAGTAATGGTATAAAGGTATAGTAGTTTTTCGGTCATCATAGGAACAATACCAGCGATTGCAAGATGGACTGCCAATCAGTTACCTGCTGGTGTCTATCTGTATCGTGCGTGCCGCTCTTTGCTGAATCTCAGCCGTAACACGATACTCCGAAGCGACTCCCTGAAGTTAACGGAACGAGACAACAGTCTTGAATGCAGTAAAAGTGCTTCCAATTCTTGTTTACTACTTAACAAAGTTCCAGAACCTGCCGCCCATGAGCCATCTTAAAAGTTCACTATCCAACGTTTTCAACATAGATCTACGCCTTTTACGAAATCTAGTATAATAGTCTTGATTTTAATAGCCGATATATACTTGTGATGTTAAACAAAACAGATGGCCGAATAAATGCGTCAAGTGAATTCAACCAAAACCGACTGAATTCATACTAGTAGCTTTATCACATGATTTTTAAATGTAATCTCCCACCAGATTACGCGAAGAGACCTGTGAATTGAATGCTTCTTCGCCTGTAATAACACATTTTTCAGTGAAAGGGATGTCCAAAAGTATCTCGTCCTGTGTGAAAACAAATGCTTTCTATTAATTCTGGTTTATGCGTGATTACCTACGTATTTGTATAGATCGCACATTAGGGCTGATTTGGGTCAGTGAGTATCGTCGACGTATTTCTGCATAAATAATTAATCACTAACAAGATTGTCAACACATATCGGCTAGATCACATAAATAGGTTCAGAAAATTATTACCTTTATTCTGAAAGTACCTTAAACGCCCTGTAAATATACCCGCAAATTATTTTAGAACTTTGCATCTGATCGTAGTGGAGTGGTTTCGGGTTATGAGTGCCCACGTGAAAGTATTCTTTAGTGGAAAGAATTGTTGAATAAATAAATAAACTGTTATTCTCCACAATGCGAGACACACTTTTACTGGCATGATCATGTGAAGCTGACATATTGTGATCAGAACTGTGCAAAAATACATGTTCGGCATGACAATGAATGTGTGTATACGTATATATACGTATGTACTTGTGTACGAATGCAGCTGCGTGGCTTGTGTTTGTGAATGCGCCGCAGCATTTTTGGCAGTTTGTAATCGTTACAAATGTGAGGATAAGCGATTGATGCCCTTAGGTTGGATAGCATTTTCTGGATATCCATGGGGCAATGACTTTAATTTGTGGCGAGTCACATACGCCACTCCACAATGTTGATAAGCAGACATTTTTGTTGTTTTTTATAAGGAAAAGGCTTGTTAAGTGAAAACGCACCACATCTTGCAACTACCGCTGAACTATTTACTGGAACGGGTTAAACTTGAACCATCCAGCTGGCGCCACGAGGTGGTTGTTCGGCTAGCCAGTCACACACATACACACACACACACACACACACACAAGCATTCACCACTAATGTAAGTTTAGGAATAATCAAGGTTGGAAAGCAATGCTGCAGTCGAAAACGTTTAAGGACAGCTATGGTGTTTTGATCATGATTATGAATTCCTTCAGGTAAACCTGAGGCTTATGCGTAGTCATGACCGGGGATCCGAGAGGCCGTGTTAGTAAAGTTTCTTCGCGGTAACCTTCAAGTCAACCAGTCTTCTACCCATGTACAGCAGTATCAAAAAGCCAATCCGTCATCTTATGGCTCGGCAATTTTACAATTTCTTCTGCTACATCAGGAACTGCATTAAGAACCATTAGCAGCTAGTGCCACTAGAGGGCAGCTTATGCCCCTAGGCCAAGGTGCAGGTGGTGAACCGATATACTTTTTAAAAGGTAACTGCAATATCTCGCGACTCATGCCTCACTGACACGCAGGCTACGAACGTTTTACAAAACAAAACGGACACATAGAGTAGTAGCTTTCCACTTCAACACTAAGCTACAGCAACATGTTGAAGTTGTTACAGCAAAATGCGCTAGTGTCGATAAGTTGTCGTATCCCCGGACGAAGACGTGAATGCGCACCTCTGACGAATCCTAATGGAACTAAATGACCGCCTGGTACTTTACCGTAAACGTTGTCGACCGTGACGTAAAAATTGCTGTGATGACTCCCAAATAGCACTTGTAACTTGACTGCGAACAAAGTGACGAACTTATGGACCTCAAAGCTAATGTTGTGTGCACACTTAACTAAAAGAACTTAATCGTGATTGGGCAATAACACGCTTAAAACACAGAAGTGGTGACAGTATGACCAAATTGAAAACCAACGATATAGATGAAAAGGGAGAATCGTTTGCAGTCTATTTGCATGGATTTAGTGCGCCTGATCTAACATGCGCAGCTTAAATACCCTAAGAAAATTACTGGGGATCAAACGCGATGAAGAGAATGCCAGTCAACGAAAAGGTAACTGAAGCTGGTTAATACTGCCATAGTAGACAGAGCTAAAGGACCGCTCCTTGAGCACCGAAAAAAATTAAAAAAGGAAACAAGTCATCCGGTTTCATATCGGTAGCCTAGGTTTGCAGTTTTAAGCTACCTTTACTAGACCATAATACGTACTGTAGTGATGCAGGAACACAGTTACCACGGGATTCCATCGATTTGTTCAGTCGCCAAGCCATTGCCAGCTTGCCAGCTCCACGGGACTTCAGATTTCATTCTTTCAACTAATATTCCTTTTATCCTATTCAGGAAAGCATGATGATAATGGGTGAAGAAATTGAAGAATATATCCGTGCTCATGAATTCATCAACCGGCCTTCAACGACGAGACTCAAACGAACTCGCCGATCAATCGATCAACTAGCTGTAAGTGGAATGTGCATAATTGCAAGAAAACCGTTTCCGTACTGATTTCTTCGCATATGAATGTTCTAAACTTTTGGTCATTTTGCACATATTCTACTAAACAACAAACAGAATGCAGACAAGAGAAAATTTGTTTCCTCTAAAATCAATCTCATCTCTAAGTTGAATATGTTTTGTTTGCTAGTGAAAATCATGAGATTGTCGAAACCACCTACGAGTACATCTCCTGGTTAGTTATAAATGGGTTATCTAGAAGGTCGGAGCTTCTAATGGAAAAATGAAACAATGAATTTATATGGGTAAAAGAGCTAATGCTTGCCAGGCCACGTAGGATGGTTATGGTGAAAAGTCAAGATGTAAAAAAGTTAACAAAATTGGGTTTACCCCGGTGAACACTGAGGTATACGAACTATAAGCTGTAAATCAAAGGTAAATCCATAAGGAAAAACGGCAACTAAGATGTTGGTAGAAATCGTGTCTCCTCCCGGTGAAAAATGGAACGAAATCTGGGAGCTGACCGCCAGTGAAATCTCTCACAGACTATTGTGTATATCCATGAGTCACGTGAGATGGTGCAGCGAAATATGTGCGCGGTCAAACTTGGGCTTTGAACTCTGCCAGTGTGGAAGCAGATTTGACAGATTCCGGTAGGACATTCCACCTTCTGCAAAGGCATAGGGAAAAGAATTTCCGACAAAATTCCAAACGACTGTGGTGCTCTGCCGGTTTGAGATAGTGGCCTCTCAGGGTGTTGTTGTGATTGAGCTCTAGCAAGTAGCGGCACGTGTGGCTGGGCTCTCTCGAAATCTGGTAAGTCAAAAGGTTGTCCCCCCGTAATCGCCGATACTGTCCGCTGAAGACTCCGCGCACTTGACGCCCAAGTTTATAAGATCACTTATGCAGACTCTTGGCATTTTTGCTTGCCCGGCGTTGGGGTGACTCCAAGACGGGGAGATCTCTCCTCAGCCATGGCTACCAGAGCTGTATTGCGTATTCTACATGTGGCCATATGTATGAGCCGGGAAGCTGGGAAAACTCGAAGGGTCGAATTGTCCGGATGAACGCTTCAGGATGCCCACGGGTTGGATGCTCCTTCTTGACGTGATTTCAACTTGATTCCAGCATCCAAGGTCGATCTGGATATAAACTCCCAGATCCCATTTTCTAGAAGACGTTAGAATCATCTGGTTGCCAAGTATGCAGGTGTACATCAACTTGTGCCGTAAGTATAGCACTCTATATTTGTCCTCATTGAATCGTAGATTCTGGATTGACCTAGCGTAGACCCACTCCAGATCAGCTTGAAGTACTGTGATATCATCTGGTGCATTGATCGCCCTCTACACCTTGATGCCATCGGCATAAAGCAGGTGACTCGGGCATATGAGGTGTGGGATATCGTTAATATACGTCAAAAATAAGCGCGACCCTAGCTCCAAGCAATGTGGTACTCCGCATTCAACTTGGATGGGATCTGACAGCGATGCACGCACTTACACTTCCAAGCGCAGTTGTAGAAGGAAACGCTTGATCCATTCTAACAGAGGAACAACAATACCAAAGGTCTGGTGTTTGAAGAGTAGAATGTCATGGTCTAACCGGCCGAACGCCTTTGAGAAGTTGAGAAAGACTATATCAACCTGTACCAAAGTCTACTGTTTCAGTCCACCTAGATCGCGATAGTATTAGATTTGTAGTGCACGACCGATTTCGTCGGAAGCCATGATGTTCCAGTACGAGGTGGTTAACTTCTTCCAAGTAGGCTGTTAGCGCGTTAGACATAATAGCTTCCATGACTTTGATTGAGCCGGTAGTGAAAGCACGTGACGCTAGTTGGCTGCATTGGAATGGCTAACTCCTTTGTGAATAGGAGCAATCATGCCGTGTTTCCACATGTCGGGTACCTACAGTTTGTCAAAACAGTGTTGGAAGAAGTAAGACATAGGCTCAGCTAAACTCTTTCCTACCGCCGGCTAGCGATTCCTTGTGTATACTATCAAGTCCAGGAGAACTGTGCTTGCGCACACTCAATAGTATTTTTAGTACAGCTTCTGCCCTGAAGACTGTGAGTTTTGTGGGGGAAACAACTACTGCCATAGGGTTAGGTGGCCATTCGTCGCACACAAATGTTACAGCATATTGTAGGCTCAGGGTATCCGCCGCGTCCTTCGGTGTCCGTGTGGGTTCATTCGCTGTTTGGAGAGGAGGATTTCCCCGTTTCACATCACGTAGACTGTTGACATGTTTATATAGAAGCTTGTGATTTGAGGACATACGCAATACCAACTTCAGCCGGTACACCATTCTAACCCCGCGAAGAATCTAAGTAGATTGGTGAAGTCGGGTCGCATAGACAATCCGGTTCTCGGTTCTCGGGAAGAGCTTGTAGATATGCCAGACTGAGTCGCACCGCTATACACTTGCGTGTTCCGCTTCTCAGAAACGAGGCTACGTATCTTGGGCAGAAAGTCTTAGTCGCTGATTCTTAGGCAACTTGAGAGTCAAACTACCTGACGAAATGCTCCCATGCACCAGCTAGTTCCTCATCTGCCAAAAAGATCCAGTTGGCAATCTCACCTAGTTGAGCTAATGTGTCGTAGCATATAAATTTTTTTGTTGCGTTGACAAATTCCACGGGATATTCTGCATAGCAAATGTATTCAAAGCTTAGTACTACATGATCGCTGCGGCCCAGGGAAACGTCAACCACCACCCTCTCGAACATTAGTTCTTCGTTGGTGTATATCCGATATAGTATTGACGGCGTATCTTTTGCTCGAAATCGGGTGGGAGTGTTGATGTTGCCATATGGCGGGTAACTCGAGACAAACCCTTGTAGATCTGCCTTAAACTATTCTTTGGGAGCTGCTTGGGAATCCAGAGCGTAGATGTCGGAATCATCAGTAATAACAATATGACTGCAAGTTGTGTTTGTCACCCATCTTAGTGCGGATGCCAGATAGAAGTCCATCTCGGGCGTGGAGGAAGAAGGGCAGTAAATGACCTCCACTAAGGAAGCCTTTACCGTAATCATCAAATCCACCATGAGATCACATTAGAGGTCATTGAATAAGTGCAGAGCCACCTCTCCATCTTCGTTGGGTCGGTCGTGCCGAACAATGGATGTGCCTAGCATTGCGATCTCCATCTCACTTATGTCAGGGCGCAACCATTTCTCCGCTATAGCGATGATGTCGCAGGCATTTGATGCTTGACGCAGCCACATTTCGGAAAGTTTACTCAGTAAGCCTTGAACGTTAGTATACACACAAGAAAGCTTCTCGGATGTCACAAACTGTCGACTATGAGCAGGTGAAGGATGAGGATTTGTGCCGACCTATGAGAGACTGAAACCTAATCGTTTTCTGGTGAATTGCCAAATCTCGATAGGAATTCAATCCGTTTTGGGTCTCACTTGCACCTGAAGCATGTAGACCATCGGCAGCCTTCTCGATATCTTTGGGTCTTAGCGCACGGGTTTCTGAATCGTCGTTGCGGTTATTTGCAGTGGCGGGTGGTGTCGCTTTCGCGAGGACAGCAAGTGGCTGCGGCTCTCAAACTGCTGTCTTCAGTTGTAGTTCCGAAGGAAGGGTGTTGCGTAGTAACTACCAGCTCCGGATTAAGCTCACGGACATCTCTTGTGCCTGCACCGTGAGTTTTAGTATACTCGGACCACTGCCTCTGTAGTTTAGCGACACGCTTAACCGTGTAATGGACTGAAGTATGACGTCGCACGCACAGACAGTTTCATGAATGTCACACCATTCCTCCAGCTAATGAGCGTGGGTTTCTTCGTTGCTGGTTGTCGGCCGTTCAGGCCCGCCATGTACGAAAATAGTTCTTTTGCTACTGTCCTTGTTGTGGTCGTTTGAAGTATTTTTATCCTGCTGGCGTAAGCTCCAGGTAACATCCGGATATATGCGTTTTCCACTGTTTTAAATCCGCAGACGGTATGCCGATAAAACACCAGCTGACATCATCTGTTTATCCCAGTTTTACTCACATTAGCCGGGACTTACGAATTTGAATCCAGGTTGGGTTTCCAGTAATGAGCATTAAATTAGGCGGCCTGGTTTGAACTCCGATTCTAGCACAAAGGAAATTCCACAGCTGTAAAAAATCCCGCTGTTTACCTATTTAGGAGTTTACCTTAGACTCACAAAAGTTGGTGCATATAAGAGTCAAGGCCCCGTAGTTCCGCCTGGTCTTCGGAGATGTGGGAAGCACAGTTATCCATGGTTTTAGTGAAGTTGCTGCGGGTTGCACCTGGTCGTTGACCCATTTTTCGGCTGTATTTGGTGAGGCTACTGAGGGCGCACTTTGATTATACCGAGCAGCCACGGTTGCATAGATGGATTGGTCTTTAGAGCGCTTCGGATTCGGTTAGTCATTCGGAAGGGTGGGTTTTACTAATAATGCATCAGTTGATACATTAGGCAAGAGGACGTGTGCGATGGGGCTGGGCATGTTTCAATCGGTCGCGACGACGACTTGGTTCGTGCTTCACAAGGTTTCTAGTATTGCGTGTTCGTATGAACGCCTGGGTCTTTGTTTTGGTTTCGAGGCAGTAATTAGGGGAGACAGATGAGGTGCAACATATGCTTTTAGCGCCTCGAGAGAAGCAAAATTTGCATTTAAACAGTGTTCAGTTTCGGCGCCTAGCTTGTCGTACTTTTCTGTTAACGCTGGTACGCATTTTACTTGTGGAACCGTCGTGCACTTCGGACAGAAACGAAGTAAACCTAGCGTATTGTATTTCTTTATGTCGGCTCTGCAGACCTTGTCGCACATTGAATGATACCGGTAAATGCAATTTGTATACGTTAACCCTACTTTTACTGCCTTAACACAAGTCTGCTTAGAACTAAATACTTCCTTTCGGGTTACCGGTTAGGTGATTATGATGGCTGATTGCTGTAGAACATATGCAAGATTGCGGACACAGATGGCAGTTGGGCCAATCAATGAGTTCTCCGAAATTAACCAGCAAATATCCTCCA